AAATGTAAAGCAAGTTTTCCTTGTTTTTTCTTCTCCCCTTCATTTGATGCCAACTTAGGACACCACTTACAACCTATACTGGATCGGAAAAACTTCTGTTAGGCCCATTCGGAAATAGAGAACAAATAAAAAAAAATACGGCATCTTTTTGTATACTATATATTCTAAGTGAGGAAATTCACTGAACCATAACGAGGTAAATTGGCTTTGTTTTTCTATAGGAATATCTAAGTTTTTTGAATATTTAGCTAATTTAGGTTAATAGGGCCCAAGATTCAAGAGATATTTTCTCTGAGCAGATGATTTTACTATTTCTCTCTTTCTAGGGTCATGTTCTGGAAAACTATCCAAAATATTTCTAGACTCAGCAGTTTCATTAGCTATTAAAGAGCTTAAAACATGTTCAGTTGTTAATAAATATTTTTTAGATTCAATTTTAATAGAAGTTATTATATGCGAGGTCGCAACTAAAATTGATATTGGGTTTGATTAAGATTCATTTTTCATTTTGGTTAAAAGTCTACTACATTCTTGAAAACGGTTAACTAGTGATTCCAGCATACCAGCACATGCCACCCAATCATAATTACTAGTATTATTAATAGATTCAACAGCTGTTGAAATATGATACATAAATATAAATAATAAATATCTATAAATATAACAAAATATTATACTCAATACAAATATAATCCCTGATTACACAGGTTTTATACTAATTAAGGAATAGATTTTAGTTTAATATGATATATTGTAATAGTACATTATGCAAATATTTATAGAATCAAAATATAGTATCTAAATAAATGGTTTTAAATTTGAATGTTTAGGTATCATGATACTTAAAATCTATTTATTATTTTATTAACAATAACTTATCAATTTAAATTTATATTTACAGTTTCAAAACTTATAATAAATATTATCAATAATGAAAATAAAAATTATACAACTCACCTTGTTGGCAGACTTCAGATTCAATTATTTTACCATTTTCTTCATATTTTTTAATATATTCTTGTTCATCTATAACATTACTTGGTATAAAACATATAAGTATAATGATTTCATAATATATCTTATGTTCCTGAGGATGAATTTTTAATTCGAAATCAGTTGTATTTTAAAAATGTAATACTCTAGAATAAGATTTTATTTTTATTTTTCTATATACAAACTATTTGTTTATTTATTTATATATGCATTTACAAGTATTAATCATTAAATAGTTTTTAGTTTTATTATTTTATTAATTATTATTTATGAAGAAGAATAGTCATGGTATATTATAAGTTTTCATTACGATTAGTTATCCACTCAATATTTGCAAAATCATTAGTAGTCATTCGGCTGTTTAACGCTTATTGATTTCATTCGATTTCCTATGTCATTGATTTTGAAGCATTTCAACTTTGCTGACCCGATTTTTATTTCATTCTTCAATGATTGTTTAAGTGATTTTTGTTTCCAAAATAATTAATTAAATTTTAAAAGTCACTTTTATTGTTATGAATATAATCTTAATATTAATTTATAATTCTGCAAAATTTTAGTACAAACTACGTTAACCTACACGATTAAGGATAAATTTTATTTTTATTTTTATTCTTTAAGTGTATCTACTAGATAATATATAAAAACGGTTGTAACTTATGACTTTAACAGATGTTTTACAAAGTAGACATATATATAACTAAAATATTAGTATTATGATTGATTTCTTAGGTTAGTTATTTTCAATTATTTTAGACAGTTAATAAGGACTGTTGCAACTTATGACTTAAACAGACGTTTTACGAATTAGACATCTATATATATATATATATAAATACAATAGGAGTGTTATGATTGGACCTTTAAGAAAGTGTGTTTTAATTATTTTTGTAGAACAATTCATTGTATGACAAAGTTGATAACTATTAATTCAATCTTTAGACGATGTTTAATTTAAAAAATTGTGAATATTTTGTAAAAAATAACTATTCAATTATAATAAGAAGGTATCAGTAAAAAATATTTTAACAGGAAATTATTTTTTTGTTGTGTATATTCAATTTTTCAAGTTCACTCTTATAAGCATACTGGTATGAAAATTGTCATCAAAGCTTAAAACTTTGTATGCAATCGTGTGGTTAACGATCAGGTAAAATCGTACGGAATCGTATAACTGAAGAAGGTATCGCTGATAACGAACGTACGCAATCGTGTTTCACCCGTAATTTTATTTAGTACTGAGCTCAGGCAAATTGACCCAATAACTGATCGTTGATTATTATTATCATATTGAAGGTAAAATATATTAGAAGTTTAATATTCAAATAATATTAATATTAAAGTTTATTGACCATCAAAATTAAAAATAGACACATATTCTAGCTTAGCAGACGTTTTACAAGCAAAGGCTAACAATGCCAATATTAGAATGGAAAAATTAGTTGTATTAATTATTGGGAATTCACGAAATATAATTCAAAATAATCAAAATGCTGTGGCAATAGTAAGAAAGTTCGGAAAACTAGATTTGTTCTTTACATTTATCTATAATGCTTCATTGCCAGATATTACTACAAGTATTCATTCATATGAAACTGCAAATAACAGATCCGATTTTGATGTTCATGTATTTCATGCAAAAAATGAATACTTCTTAAATAATCATATTAAAATAAATGATAAATAATTTATTAAATATATATAAATTATGTATATTTTGTTATGATAATGAGCAATTAATGTTTAGGAAAAATATCAAATAGAAAGTTATTTATTTTCACAATTTTTTATACATCATTTATATTTATTTAATAAATTATTTATTATTTATTATTCATTTATTTAATTATTCAAAAATCTTATAATTTTTACTATAACTCGGCATCGACAGGTAATTCAGCTAGTATTGTAATTATTTTTTGATTTAATACTATTGCTGAATTGTTATTTAACGGTTTTAATCTAACTAATACTAGTAATATTTTTGTCGTTTCAATAATATCAACTTTTATGTGAAATATTATAAAATATTAGAAGACAGAATTATGTTTTGATAGATAAAAGGCAAAATGAGTTTAGCGACATTTTTAGCAACATGGTATATACAACAGGATATTTGTCAGTTAAAGCATTATTTCGCTTAAGTGTTAATAATACTCTGACGAATTTATTAAGTAAAATAAGTACAAATTAAAAATTCGCAAAAAAAATAAAATCAAGCCAAGTGAATTTGTTTATTGTGATTTGACTACGTGAGCAATATTTATAAAAATTATTACGAAATACATTTGAAATATCCTACAATAGACGATTATGAACTATAATCAGCTACATGAAATTGGAAGGTAACTTACATAATATACTATACTCAGCATATATAGTGATATAAAAATTGGAAAAGAATATTTGAAAATAAAATAACGATAATGGAGAGATATAAAATTTTATTGAACGTATTATAACGTAATTTATGTATTTTTAAAAAATGTTAACTTTTACCAAATATTTGAAAATTAAGTAATTTATTCCAAAGGTTATTAGATAAGATATTATTTGTTAAATAGAGAGATACATTTTATGAAACATACATATTCTTAAGTTCAGTGCTTTAAAGACTATACAATGGACCATGGACTCTTTGAGCTAGTGACCCTATTAGTAGGTCAAAAATAAGTTGAATAAAAACATCAAAAGCTTATTTTATATGATGACTTTTATATAGCAGGGTGATATGGGTTATTAATTTTAAATAAAAGAAGATATCCGAGGATTTCACTTGTTGTAAAATTGTATATATATATATATTTTTTTTTTCCATCTGGTAAAAAATTTGAGTATCTAGTATAGTTTTTTTTTTTTTTTAATACTAACTCATTTATAATTGTTACATGAATTAGATGACTTATAGTCGATATCAAATTTGAAATAAATGTTATCTTGAATCTTGTAGTTTTGTTAATTGAAATAACTAGAGAATTCAAGATAACATTTATTTCAAATTTTAATTTAACGATGAGTTGTTAATTATACTATATATTATATTATACAACTGTATAGTCGTAAAATATATAAATTACATTAAAATGTTGTGTAAAAATTGCAAATTAATGTTTGTTTTGTATAGTTCTATAAAAGCTAAAAATCATCTTTGAAACTCATTATCATATCAAAAAAATTTGAACTTATTCAAAACTGTAATAGGATTTATAACTTTATAATTTTTAAATTACCATACAAAATATAAACTAAATACTTTTTCTGAATACAATAAAAAAAAAAAAAAAATAGCACACAAAATGTTTTATTCAACTTAAAATATTTTTATTTAAGAAGATTTCTTTTTTACAATCAATTTAATTCATTGTTCATAAATTAACAGTTGTTATTTTAAATTAATTTCTTAAAATATTCTATACCTAATACTTGCTTATTTTACTTCACTATTTTTAAAGTTTAATAAAAGAAGCAAAAATATTACATAGTGTATTTTAGAGATACATTGGTATTGGTTTTTTTTTTTTTTTTTATTTAAGAAAATGTTTTTTTAATAGTAATTTGAAAATTTATAAAATTAAATCCACATTAAATTATAGACACATTTGGTGCATTCAGGATATAATTATTAAACACCAGCATGTTTCCGATTATTACAAATTATTTACAAATTATACATTATTTGTCCTTGAATATATTTATTATTATTGTATATTTTGTCAAAACAAACGATTGAAATAATAATTGTACTGTTAGGTACTCTTGAATAACAAGCAAAATAATTTGTATTTGTTACGAGATACAATCAAGTGTCATCCCAATTTTATTATCTCTATTGTCCCTATGTAAATGTTCACAGCTCGTAAATCAAACAAAGTATATTCTTTGTTAAGTAGATTCTACTTAGCTTTACAAAATGTGGACCATTAATCAGTTACACACTATGTGTGGTTAGACATGATAAAATATTTTGTTAGACTATCTGTATTTACAAAATGTTATTAATTTTTCAGATCGTAAAACAGCTGCCAGTAGCATAAATCCAAATGGAATTTAACAAATCATACACAGAAGCGAAAACAATTGACGAATGTTAGTGAACTTTTTTAAATAACAGTTATCTTCATGGTCATAAACTTTAATTTAAAGTATGGAACAAAATTATAATTTTATTAGTGTTATTCAATGTTAGTGATATGTTTGTTAATTTACCATTATTGTACGTATCAGATTATAAATTATATCCTTTTAATAATTTTACCTAATTATATTGAATTCTTGAGATGAAAAAGGTAAAGATTTTAATCAGAGTGAAAAGACAAAACATTTTCTAAATGTTTGGATTCTGGGTTAAGAATAATATGCGTTGGTCTTAGAACAATCTTTTTTCCTGTAATCAAACTTTCGGGTAGATTTATTAGTTTGATTTACTAACTTTTTGATGGTAAATGGCACACATATGGTTCGTCGAAAAAGGTAGTTTTTTTAAATGTAAAGACATTTGGAAATCTTAATATACATCGTATTAAAAATATATTATAATTTATATAAAATGAGTAATTTTTATTAACTGCTATGAAAGTGTTATGTGAAACAAATCATTAGTAATTTTATAAAGTTGGTAGACTTTAGTTAAGTTGATGATATTATTTTGAAATATTTAATTTTATTATATTATTTAGAATAAAAATAAATAATAAGATTAGATGCCTTGTAATGCATTATATTATAATTTATGTAATATAACACAAGTATACAATAACAGTAATACTGTTTAATAAATAAATATATGCGATTATATGTAAAATAATTTAGGTTTGTATTATTAAATAAATAAAGTATAAATATTTTTTATTTTTGTTGATTTTACAATATTTGATAAAGTATCAATAATACTTAATAAAAAATTAAAATTAAAATCTTCGATTAGATAGATAACACATAATATGGTAAAAGAGTAATAAAAAATTTAAGGTAAAGAATGTATTTTATGTCCTTGAAAATGGTAGTTTGGATTTGTAATCATATGGAAACTTAATTATAAATGAATACAATTAAAATGTACAGGTGTTTTATGACAGAGGTACTATTATAATTTACAAATTTTTTTTAAAGTTTAAAGTATTGCTCAGTGGATTCAAATTACACTGCAAATATGTACGTAAGATGAACAACTCTACGTTCAGATTCATAATTTAGTTATCTGGAATGGGTTTAATAAACATTGTACATATATACTATATATTATATAGTATTATTCGTTTGATATTTTATTATCGTGAAAATCTTTAAAAGGATATAACTTAATTTTTATAACTTTTTAAAAATATTTATAGATGGTTATTTTAATTTTATAAAAAAATTGAAGAAAAACTTTAACAAAGATTTTTCAAGATATTTTTTTTTATAAAATACTATTTTTAGCATACCATACAATTATTTGTATAAAACATTTAAATTATATTGACGTGTAATAGTTTTTTATTTTTATTAAAATGTCACGCGAGAAGTTTATAATTATAATATAATTGATTATTATTATCGAATATTCAACATGAATACCATTCTTAAAGATAATTCTATTGTACATTCAATATTATGATATTTAATCAGTTAAATTACGAAATTTTCACTTGATAATTTTTTCATAATTTACAAAATGAGAAATACATTAAGCGTTTTAGATAATCAGCATATTCGAGAAATCTATATTGTGTAGTTACTTGTCTATAAAGAAAAATACATTTTAAGTTAATTATTTTGTAGGTGTTAATTATATTTTAATTCGATGAACATTAAAATTGTCAATCAATATGTGTTTTTAGAACTAATACTAATAAAGGTTTTAGCTTGATTCACAAGAAATATTTATACACATAAATAGTATTTATTATTATGTAGAATATTTTAGGTTCATTATACTGTGGAACCATCTCTGTAAATATTATTAAATGTATATTTATTAAATTAAACATCATAGGTAGGCGTGTTCAGTCCTTTTTAATTGGTCATGCTCAAGACTTATGTATACAAATGCGATATTGAGTTATCAATAAGGAAGAAAATACGATATTCAAATTTTTAAAAAATCATTATTAGCTTTTAATATATATACATAAAAATATAATTGCAAGTGTTCAAACGTTATGTTGTCCTATTAAAATTCTAAACGTCGTTTTTTTGGAATCATAACTTTAAACTAGTTTTAATTAATAATTTAATTGAAGTCAAATTTTGCAATTCATACCTGTGCATGAAAGACATGACTCGTAGACATGCCTATGTAGAACGTAAATATATTTCAATATTTTACATATTTTATCATACGAAGACACTTTTTACTTTTTAAAAAATCCCAAATATTTCGTTAAAAATTGTGATATTGGATAAATTATATTATATATAATATAATATAATATATTATATAATTTATATATATATTATAGTTATATATCATATTCAACATTGATTATAAACAATTTTTAACAATTAAGTTTAAAAAAAAAACGTCTTATGCATCCTTTATATCCTTAAATAAATAAAAATACTACCTCTTCATATATTAGTATATTCGATATTTATATTATATATTTAATAATACTTTAATACTTTGAGTCGTACATTATTTATTTTTCAATTTAAATATAGGTTTAATTTTTCCATTTTTAAATGAAAAAATATTATATCCATTGTTTTTTATGGATTGTATATTATATGTTAAATATTTTTATTTTTTTTTACTTTCGTTTTTCTAAGATTTTTAAGATTTTTTTTGTAATAAATTGCTCATTTATCTTTTTCTTTTTTTTTTTTATTGTTAACGCTTAATGGAAATTAAGTCTCAATAAATGTTATTAAACGTAAAAAAATTAATAAATAATTAAAAAACCAAAACTTTATTTTGTCATATATTTTATTTTTAAAAAACTACTTAACTCTCGAACAGGTAATATTTTAAGTTTGACACTGACATCAAACGTGTACTTGAATAATATTTTAAAGTTTATTGCCTTCATTTCCATTTGAATAAATATTTATTACTTCATTGATGTAATATTTCCTCATAACTTTCCGAATAAATAATCCCATAAAATTCTCATTTTTAATTTTTCTAATGATTTTTTATTAGAAGATTAATAACGATAGGATATAATATACCTAATTTATATTAGGTACTGTAGAATAACAGATGGAATATACTTTTAATTTAGATTAAACTAACAGTATATATTTCAAAATTTTGTGTTATCTTTGCTACTTGTACACAAAAAAATACCTTGATATAATTTTAGACCATCGATTCACTTTAAATCACATATAATTAGCAAAACCCAAACACTAAATTACTATTTCCGAATCTTTTAGCCACTTCAAACCTCTAACCATACGAAACTCCCCAACAAACTCCTGCTCTACAATCTCCTACTGAGATCCATATGGATATATGGAATTCAACTATAGGTGTTTTTAAAATGTACAACATCAACCGATATAAAGCTAACGTACAATTTACCAAAAAACTATAATATAGTTTATATGCATATATGATTTTAACTATAAAATCTGAATTTTATACCAACTCATTTTTTTTTTTTTTTTTAAATACAAGTACAATATATTTTTCTATGTATTTTTCTTAAACTAAACTAATTTTTCTCTATGCAATAATGTAGACAATACTCAGTTATGTTGTTTTATTTAATTTTAGATTCTGAGTGAAACGAAGGATGTTTTGGTTTTACGAGTACAATGATGTTTATTTTTTTTTCTGTAAACAATTTTTCGACTAGAAATACTAGTCTAAAAGTTTCAACCAATAATTATGTAGATTTAAAATCGATATGCAGTAATTCTTTAAAGAGGTTATTTTCCTAAAATCTCAATAGCTTTTTTCAGGCAAGAGGAAAAACTGCCAAGACACCAAGTGAAAAAAAAAAAAGAGCAAAAGACGAACTTCCGTCATCATTTTCTTACCGGCTTTTTATATTCAATGTTCTTTTTTTTATACACAGATGGAACCGGTGTCAAATATTGCACATCAATAACACTCTAAATTAAAAAATTTTTATCCACGACTTATATAGATATTCACACATTAAATATTCAAAGAATTATACATTTCTTTCAAATAACAATGAATTTAAATTTTAAAATGTATAATATTTATAGATATGTTTTAAAATGAATTAATTGCAGTTAGAAGATAGTCATGAAAGAGTTGACAGAAACCCATTACACGGTTATCGAATTACAAAATAATCGTTGCACGAGTGGTGTCGTAAGCCCACAATTACTGTAGGTCTATTGCACCGAATAATGGACCTTTAAAATAATTTTGCACTGGTGCTTCAAAATTATAATTCCGGTATAGCTATGTGGAAAAATTAAGTGCATGTTCATCAAGGGTCTATTTTGCAATTAACGAAGTTATGGATTTTATCATTACAATGCGCACAATTTTTAACTGAACAATCGCGTTATATGTAGTACTGATGTATAATTATGTATTGAATAAATTTATTATGATCAAACAATGTATCCCAGTTAAGTTATCGATCCCATTTTGTTATAACCAATTAAGTCACATCAAAACGCATTCAAATTGATTTTTTTTTTTTTTTTACGCCAAACGGCTATTTAAACTTTTTTTTAGTTTTAATTTGTAGCAAATAAAAGTTTATTTATTCAGCTACCCGGAAATGCGATCAACACCGTTAGTCGTCGATAAAAAATAGCATAGTAACGGTATTGCGTATCAATCAGGCGTTCATCTAAATGGCACCAACGGCTGGTTTTTTTTTCATTATAACAAGACGAGAAATCAAAAGTTCCACGTCGACAGAAAGATGGTACACCGGAAAAATGATCATGTGGAACTTCAACGAGTGTTAAATGTGTCGGTTATTGACAGTTATTATAGTTTTCCGTCCAACAACGCGTGGCACGCCGGACGACTTGGATAACAATACGCAGTGGTCAAGAATCAAAAGCGACCGAATCTGTCGGGCTACTGGGTTAGAAATATCAAAACGTAAAAACAAGGACGTCTGATTCCATTTGGTCCATGTTGAAATACTTGTATACCAAGCTTGAACACGAACGGTAAAATGTAATACGAACAAAATTCACACCGATCTGACCGGATCGC